GAGGGACTGTTGGTGCAGTGCACAACACGACACAGCTGTGCTTCTTTGAGGTGTTTACCAAATGACCCAAAGAGTGACTTCAGCAGAGGAGGGTTTACAGTGTAAAGAGTGGCAAAGGAATGATTTTTTGTCACAGTTAATTTAAACAGCTTGTGACTTGGTGTAAGACTTGTAATGGACTTGTAAGGACTTGTGATATACTCAACAACGACAACACTGGCTACATGAAAAGCTGTGATCCGATTGTATAATGCTCTTAAATAATGAACGTTCATGTTGTGTCTTACTACCAGACTTGTAATATCTCTGGAAAGTCTACGCCAGCAAAGCCCCCGCAGGTCCCCTTCCCCGCGACGCAGCAGCAGGGGCCGCAGCAAGTCCCCCAGCCGTGTCAGGCCATTCGGCCGTTCCTCAACAGACCGCAACCACTCCCCACCGGCCCGCCGGCGCAGCCGAACGCCCCAGCGGCTACGGTCGCCCATTCGCATTCGCTCACCGACGAGAGAAGAACTTGCAGAGAGGAGGCGGAGGAGGTCACGCTCCCCAGATCTGAGACGACGAGACAGAGACAGGGACAGGGAGAGCAGGCGAGACCGAGATAGGGGGAGAGATCGAGACAGGGACCGAGACCGGCGTCGCGACCGGAGACGTGGCCGTGGAAATCGAACACCGGATGACAAATTTAAGGGAAGTCTTTCTGAGGGACTAACAATGAAGGACGACTCTTCTGATGAAGAGTAAGTTGCCAATATCATTTTGTAGGTTGGAGCAGCCACGTTGCTAAATCATGGGACATTTTTTCAATGATTGTGAATAAAGAAATATTCCTGCCTTTCATTCTGAACTTTCATGAGCATTGGTTCTTTCTTTATGTCCAGGTTGCAGGATGTTGATCTCCAAGATGAAGAAGATGAAGAGACCATCATCGAGAGAAGACGCAAACAGCGCCAGGAACTTCTGAAGGTTTGTATATGAAAAGTTCGGTGTATTTGCAGTTTTTGCAAACTTGAGTATTCTGTAAAACAGCATGCTTTATGTAATCAGAAGTCCTTTTCTGCAAGCATTTGTGAGTTCTCCCTTTCGTTAGAAGTAGGGTGTTGCTCATGTTTCTGCATTGTGCCCGAGTGTACTCGGTGGGCACAACCGCACAACAGTGTTTCTGTAACGTGGTAGTTGAGATTAAAAGCTTGCACAGTGATGTAGGCCCTGGTGTTGCTGGGTTAAAAGAAGAGAGATCACGCTGGCAAGTTTTTGAGTGTACATGTACTTGCATTTTACGGACACAAACCTGTGGTAGCCTATAGCACATGCAATAATGTCAAAGAATCCTTGTTTGGCACGCCTTGTCTCGCTTTTGTTCTGGGCATGGTGAATCCGTACCAGTAATCTTCCAGATGTTAAGCAGTGTTCTCCACGAGGAGTTTCAGCAGGGTGGGCCACCCTACCATAATTTTAGAAAGCCCTGCTAAAGTTTTGCCGCTCCACCAAAAATCTCACTGCCCTGCTATTTTTCTGTCGGATTTTCCATGTTCTCCACCGTCTTCACAGTTAGTCTAAATGGAGAGAAGCTTACCGCACTTTATGGAACTAACATGATGAGGTTGCAGTCATTATTCAGCACAACAGTATAGCCCTTTGCAGCGTTTGTAATCAAAGCCAGACGCAGTATAGTACGTAAGCACAAAATTATGGACTGGTTCCAATCTCCCGGTCATAGCAGTTTCATTTTGTCGCATCAAGAACTAATACCATAAATGCGCTTTTTTTTTCCTCAGAAAATACGGCCAAGTTCCTACAGGTAGTTCTGGATTTTCTTAGATCTGGATTTTCTTAGATTCAGATCGCTGGAAAAAACTTCTTTTCTTTTGTTTCTAAAAACTGCTTCTTTTGTGTTCTACATTTTCGAACAAGTTCAGTTAGAGAGGTGAAATGTAAGCTTCGTGTACAAAATTTTGTTTCAGAAAACGTCTAGAAAAGAAATTTTCTGCCAGATAGATTTCCGTTTGAACATTTCAACATTTTGGAACGGTTCATGAAAAATCATGAGAGCCAAAATACAGGTCATTCTGTATTTGTGATTCCAAATGCTTTTCTCTTAACTGCAAGCTTAGATCTTTACAGCGGCCACTGCTGCGATGCCTCAGTGAATTGCCACGATGCCCGTTGAAAATAGCACGTACCTTTTGGCCACTTGGCCGATGTGCCCCTCTTCAATGATCAGTAGGCCTATTACAAGTTACCATTTAGCGCTATCGTTTCTTTCAATTGGTGGCCGCATCGAGCACTTTTTTCACGGACTGGTTATGCAACATCCTGTAGACAACGTGGTATAGCAACCATATCAACGTTGTTGAGTTGTGTGATACTAAAAACGTGGCACCAGACTAGAGACAGGTCACAGCACAGAATTACACATTCTGCACTGATTGGATTCGGTACACAATGAGACGGAGTCACTAATATTTGGGATTGAGGGTGGAAGAACGACCCAGTCTATTTTTTTCCTTGCTATTTCACTGGTATTCATGCGGGCGCAACGGCAGACTTCTGTTGGATAAATGTTTGTGACCCGGTGACCGACTTGCTTGAATTGATTTGTTTGTAGTTTACATTGATATTCGAAATACAGACAGTGTTGCCTTTATGACATCATGAAAAGTAATAAGACACAACACCAAATGGTAAATTAAAGTTCGTACAGTATTATTTATTTTCACTTTGTACAATTCAAGCAGTGCCACTGCTCAGCATGTGAACAGAAACAAACAGAAGAAAAATTGCAGGTTGAAAGTTAAACACCGTGTTAAAATTGAAGGAAAGTCTGTTAAAGTCACCAACAAGTAACAGTTCCAAAGTGGCCTTAGTGTCCTTTCAATTGGCCTTAGTTCCCTTTGGTTTTGGGAGCCTTTGAGGCCAAGTGGCCTTGACCCTCTGAAGCTTAAGGTTGAAGCCTGTTTAACAGTTCTATAAACTTTTGCATCTAATGTATGTCTGATCAAAATGACTTTTGGAGTTCCCGGTGTTTTTTTTATAAATTGATCATAAAGTAAATGCATAATTTTTTCCTAGTTGTGGATTACACTGTAAGTGCACGCACGTTGCGAACTCAGCTTCACGGGCGTAACAGAAATGTACCGGTACATGCATGTGACGTGATGAGTTCATCAACCGTGCAGCGCAGGGGGATAGTCGCTGATTGCTTGCAGTACAGCTGAAAAACTCGAGTCAAAATTTGCACAAGGTTTACTTTTTAATTCACTGAAATTGTTATTTATGGACTAATTTTCTCGAAATCAAGAACTTCTTAATTAGAGAATCAGCTTGCTGCAATGGCTCTGGCTGAAAATGGATATTTTGCAGGTTAGTTTTTATATGAGAAAAAAATTGTCACTATTTGGAACTGGTTAAACTGATTCAGAACTAGAACAAGTCAAAAGTTGTCACTTTGACGATCTCGTAAGTTCAAATTAAAAGCTTAGATTTCGAAAATTTTTTGTAGTTTTTCCAATACACGTGGTGGACTACTGACCATATTTCCCTAGAATTATAGGGTTTTGTTGCTGGAATCTGGTCATGGAGTTATTTTTGAGATCGGGAATGATTAGGGAAGCGACTGTACATCATCCACGTGCGCTGTGCCCACGTAGATACATGTAACCCCTGTACCATCAGCTCAATAGCGAGTGCCAATCAGTAAAAAAAAGAAAATACCCCAGAAAAAAAGGCATCAACTTTTGATGACCTCCCGATAACAATTTTGATGCTATGAACAAATTTGATTCAAGAAGTCAGAAGAAAGTGCCCAGGAAATACCTCAGATCACACCACGGAGCATCTAGAATCCAAAATTTCCCAGGGCCCTTGAGCGGGCCCTAGACCCCACACCGTAATGGCTTCGCACTCTGCGCTCGCATTGTCTGCCGTCCAGCTATAATTTTACATATAGGCTGTGGAGAACACTGATTAGGGGTTTGTCAGTTTCATCGGGTGTGGTGTCCTTCTAGTGATAATGAGCATTTCAAAAGTTAAAACAGTCGAAAAATTCAGTCGGGCACACAGGCTGTTCCACAGGGCAAAGTCAGTGTTCTCAACTGAAACATTTTAGTTGACCTTTCCATGCTTTTTCAAGCACATACATCCAGCGGAATGTTCCACTGGACCAGTCTACTAGAATGGGCAACTGGAGGAAGCCGATTCTTTGAAGTGCGAATCATGATGGTTTCAAACTGAGCGAGTCTCTGTATTACATGTCCCCTACTGTCCCCTGTTGACCTGTGATGCAAATATCTGGGCACCTCACGTATTTGTTGCATTAAATTTTGCCATTCAAGCTCTTGTCAGGTTATATCGCTTCACTTATAGAAGCACACATCTTCCTTTTTTACTATTATGTTCAAATATAATCAAACATGAGACAATAGTAAACAAATACACTAATAACTAATTCGGTTTAAACGACTTACCTCTCGTCCGATTTTATTCAAATATAGAGTGTGGTACGGACGTCTTCACCAGTGACATACATGTATGCTCAGGCAGTTTTTAGATCGGCGCATGATACCCAATTACCGATGTTCCCATCTGGAACATTCGTATTCCCAGCTGAACATTCTGACAGGCGTAATACGTGTCCAATGGAACAGTCTGACAAACCGTTCAAGTGCAGTAGTCCAGCGTTATGGCTCAGATGGAATGGTCCAACAGAATGTTCAAGTTCCGACTTGTAAGATACTCCCTTAAAAGTAATCCTACGTGGGATTTCACCCATATCAAATTTTATAATTTTCTTCCCTTCACTTGTCATGCCAAATTCTTTACACAGAAACTGAGAGCCCCAGTAGCCCCAACCGCCACTGAGCTCGGTGTACCAACTCCAGATGAGTCCATCACCAGCTCGGGCATGAACACCCCAAGTAGTCAGAAAGAGACTGAGGAGTCTTCATCGTCATCGTCATCATCGTCTGACAATGACAGCAGTGACGATGATGACAGTGACAGCGAGGAGGAAGAGGACCAGGAAGCGGCAGACCAGGGAGGGGCAGAAGGGAAGATTATTGATGGGATGCAAACACTTCCTGATCCAGAGGGGGTGTTAAGAGACATTCCAGTTCCAGTTGGAGGCGCTGAAAGGGTTAGCGAGAGCAAATTATCAGAGACAGTCCAGAGGCAAGACAAAGCGTCCGTTGTCAAGGTGAACATGGAGGAAAAGGAGCATTCGTCAGCCACCAAAACAGAAACAAAAGGTCAGTGCTTGTGAAACCTAGTGACCATCGTTAAAATGGGAACCATTTTCCTTTTAGTTCATGTTCTCTGGTTTTCAGGTATGGATGCCTTCAGGCTTTTTCTGTTCTTTTTAAAATGTTGAACCTCTAGATGTCGTCAGTCGAATCTTGCTTGATCACACTTTGTTTGAAAACCAGAAACTTGATTGGATGAGGGACATCTGCAATTGGGCAACTGCGCCAGCTTTGTTGTGTCCATGGCCAGTCTTCTACATATTGGGCTTACATTGAGATGCAGATGCAAATTGTTTCCATTGGACTTTGTGTTGAAATTTGCTGAATGTTAGCTGCAGCCATCTAAGTCAGTCCCCCTCCAACTTGTTCTGCTTCCGGTTTTCCAACCAACCCTAATTTTTTTGTTGCAACCCTAAAACTTTGATCCCAAGTTGACCAAATTAAATATACGGACATTGTTGGCCAGTTTCCCATCATGACTACTAGACTAGCATTGTGCATAGGGGTGTTAATTGCTTATTATTCTTCAAGAATTGTCAACTAAATTATTGTTAACATTAATTGAGGCAAGTTTTTATCACTTTTTGTGGCGATTGTTTTTAATAGCTTTGGTAGTGTAAATGGAAATGGTCCGTGCCAAAATTCATATGTAATTGAATAGCAAATTCAGTCACCACAAACACATGGGGGGGGGGAACCGCAGACCTACCAACCGTATTTTTGAAAGTTATGTATTTCTCAAGCAGAACCGTTTTTTTGGCTACAGATTCCCCAAAGGCACGTTGAAGGTATGGTTAAATTTGTATCTTCCGTGAATGTCACCAGCCTATATGATCCTATGGTTCAAAGGGATATCACATTATATTGGCCTTTGCTCAGAGTGTTACAAATCAAAGTGGTGTCTGGGCTGCAGTGTACATGGACATGGAATGCTTCTGGTTTTTTCTTTGACTTGCTACTTGTTATTGCTGGAAACTCACCATTTGCCTGTTTTTCTTTTCAGCTCAAGCCAAGAACGGGATGGACATGTTTAGTGAAAAGGACATGTTTGGAGATAATTATGACGTAAGTACCAGCAGTTTAAGTGCGATGACATTACAGTGTTTAGTGTTCCATATTTTCATTTTGAAGGGCTGAGCCAGTTCAAATAATTCCCTATTCGAATATTCCACCTTCAATTCGATCGAATATCCGAATATTCGGTCTTACTGGCAGATTGTCAAGGAACAAACCATCTATAAAATCAGTTGCAATAACACACAGTTGTACATTATAACCACTATAATAGCTTCTCACGTCTACTAGTATCTCCAGTCACAATTTAGCAAGATTTAAGAGATGAATAATACTTCTTTTCTTGTTGAAAGTGTATATTCCTTTTAATTTTTTTAATGAATAATGTACATTTTGAATTGCTGTAAGGTTTCTGTTGCTTTTCATTTGAATCTTCTTGGAGCAAGCCTCCATGGTGCAATTTCTCTCATTTAAAACAAAAGAAAATTCTCCCTCCCTTTTCATGAAATTTGTATTCAAATATTCTAATTTGAAAAGTGATATTTGAATATTCAATAGGCACAGCCTTATCATTTTGGGGGATTTTCTGTTCAAATTACGAATCCCAAATTAGTTTATTTAACATGTTTGCAAAAAAATTTGGTTTGGGCCTATTGTCATGTACTGAAACACCAGTGAAATCATCACAAGATTTAAGAGCAAAATATTTAGATTTCTTGCACAAAGTTTCTAAGCAGGAACCGCTGCAACACTCAGGTTTCTTCCTGAAGTAACATCATTCCATATTGCTCAATAATATGCCAATCCACATAGCATAAAAAGTTAAAAAGCCACCCAAAGTTCTTTGACAATGCCAAGGTGAAAAAATAACTTAATGTTCAATGGTACACAAAGGTGCTCTTACAAGGACTTATATTGCATAGGCTCATTGAATTTTGCTGGATATAAGAATTAACCCAGTGCAGTTTCTTTGATGTGAAACCTTGTGGCCCATTGGACTACATGATTCAGATCAGTGAACATTTATGATTGTCTCACATTGCATTCAATATGGGATAAAACCTTTTACTTCTCAGAGTCCCACTGTTGAGAAGCTTGGGCACACTGGCCATGAGAATCCAAGCTTGACAGACAACTGGGATGATGCCGAAGGCTATTATCGTAAGTATTATCACTGATATGTGCTGTGCACAGGCGTGATTTCAAATGCAGAGATGCCGACTGTACAGTTAGGTGTAATTTTTCCAATTTGTTTTGTCCATTTACCATACAGTTGTGTATAAACTCTATGTAAGTGAGCATGGAGCCGGCCGGCCTCGTCATGCGCGCGTCAGAAATGTATCGCTGGCATCCCGCAGTTTGTGTATATAAGCCGCGCGAGCAGCGGTGGAAACCAGGGGAGTTGAATCATCCGTTCGCCCCAATGAATGCTATGATGAACAGGGAGTGAATAGGCACGTTTGCTTTTCATATGCAACATGATTGTGTATGTCCATACATTGTACGTGTACCGATATCGTACATACATGTGTCGAACATCATGATCGGGCTAAAAGTTGACCAGAGTGGAGGATTGTGGAGGATTTGATTCGAATCTACCACAAAAATGGGCCTTTATTGCAAAGTCTTGTCATGGAGAAGCTGACGTGTTTTGCAACGCATGTATTAAACTGTGACATGATAAATATTGCCCACGCTCTATCTTATGACACCGAGAAGCACATTAGTTAGGCCAAGAAAAAATAGCTCTGCTTCCGATTAAATAGGGTTGGTAGGAAAGGATTTTTTGACCATTTTTTGTGCTGAATGAATGGGATGAAAGTTGCCAAAAATTGCCACAAAAGCGATTAAAATACAACTTACCAGAATTAATGTAGAAATGTAATCAATAATTAATTACAATTCACACTTCCACAGTGCTAGTCAGGTAAATACAAGTGTTTTGATGTGAAACGAAGTTGTTGACAGGTGTTTGTTTTGAAAGATAAACAGGATTTTTTGAAACTTAAAAAAAAATCTTTTTTTCTAATTTTCCTGTGAAAATTTTTGGGGTCGCGCCGAAAAATTGGGGTTGGTCGGGGAACTGGAAGTGTGATAGGATTACTTTTTCTAATTTTGAAAAGTTGGCATCTCTGGAAAATGTTTGCCAGTAAAAATTGATGATAGTAGAAACAGGCAAAATGTACCCACACAGATGCATGTACTGTACATGCATCATTACTAGAATGCATCCATTGCTGGAAATGCTGTCTTGACATTTTTACTTATTCTTCTGTGTTCTCAAAGCTGAAATCACAAATAGTTTATTGTACTGTCCCACAGTCTGTGCAGAGTAAATCAGAAATTGGAACT